CCTCCCCCATGTCTAGCAAGATGCTTTACACACTGATGAGATGTTGCTTGATGAGATGTTTATTAAATTGGCCTGTCAATCACAGTATTTTAATTTTGGCACCTATTTTTCCTTTTGATGCAGCAATGAAATAAGTCTTTGTCTTTTATGAAAAGTAACTCCGTGGCTAAGGGTCATGATTTACAGACACGGAGCCTGCCTGCAAAACTGTCTCCTAGAAAGTTCTGTCATGAGAAAGCTCACAAAATAACATGTTTAAAAACAAGAAAAGTAATTCATTTCATTTTGTTCTTACACATTTTTTCTCTTCAGAGCCTTATGTTTATTTCATAGGCTCTAAGTAAATAATCATATTACTGGAAGTAAATCATTTTTGACACATTTCTAAATAATTGCGCCAAAGGATATTACATTCTCAGTTCAGCACCATTACTATCTGATACTATGACATGTTTGCAGTTTTTTATAAACTGGTGCTGAGTCCACAGAAGATATAATACTTCTGGAAACACACACTCGGCACTCAGACTCTGCAATGACCAAGACTTTTTAAATTGAAATCCCCGTCCTCTGCAGATACTCCCTGCTCAAATAGGTAGAAACAGGGCTCTTTAGCCAAAGGACTTAAGTGCTGGTGTGTCCTCTGACTGCTTCAGTTTTTTGAATTTGAGAGCAGCAGAGATGATGTTGTACCGTCATCACCCATGTTGATGAAATGCTTAAATTGAGGCCATTTTTCTTTATCTGCTGAGTTAACTTTATCAGCATTACACAAACTGGTTACTTTATCATCTGTTCACTTCCTAAATATTGGAGAAGATGGTCCATGTCTGGTGAGAGGAATACGTGGTTTTGACTTTCAGCAAGGGTAGTCCAGCTAACTGTAATGAAATATACTGGTGTGATGGACTGAAATGCATGAATGGAGCAGTTCAGGTACAAGGCACAGAGAAATGGACCAGGGTGCTTGGAGGAAAGAGGTCATACTGGTAGTATTCAAGGTGAGCCAAACCCGGTGTAGATTTGTTAGATGAATGAAAGCGGAAAGGGTGGTCCAAGGAACAGCAAAGGAGGAGGGAGTGATGGTGTAATGGGTTGGAAGGGATTTCTAAGGCTTGAGGTGTGTGAAGGGAACTCTGAGAGCTGGTGGACACATGGAAAGTATTCTATGAGACGGCAGTAGGAATGTATAGAAAAATTTCCATCAGCAAACATAATTCAATGTGTGTCAATAAAAGTTCCTTGGGTAGCAGTATGGAGAAGAAGCTGAAAAAATGTGAGATGATTGCTAGTAAAATTAGAAAAAGTACTATAACAATGCTAGTGAACAATGACAAATGTCTGGATTAAAGGCAGTGAGAATGAAGACCCCCCTCCCAACCCCTGCCCCATGCCTATATAACACTTAGTTAGTAAACTGTACATGGAAACATTAAATTTTAGATGTGGGTTTGAAGTTATATCACTTATTAGCGAGACCAATCTAGCAAGAGTCCCTGGTTACTGTTTTTATAGCAATCAGGTAAAAGTTGTAGAAAATGTGGGGATATTGAGAAAAAAAAGATCAACTTTTGGTGAAAATGGTAAAATTGTGCTTAAGAGTATGAAGCATCTACCAGGTATTTCCTGTGAACTATTTCATAGGTAGAGACCCTCTCTGGTGGCGCAACTGGTTAAAAGCATAGCACTATGAAGCTATCCACAGCCACTGCCACAAGAGTTTGATCCTGGCCAAGGAGGTGACCCACATGGTGCAGCAGACCTTTCCTGATCCACCCACTGCTCCCCTCAGCAGTGTATTTCAGTCACTCTGCCTGTTCTGCTTCCCACTGTCTCTGGTTAATCTTCTCACCCTCCTGCACCTCTGGCCTGTACCCCAGTTCTTATATGCATAAACAAATAAGTCTTTTAAAAAGTAAATATTTTGTAGGTAGCTAGACTTTTTGGTCTGGAGCTTAACAAGCAGCACTAGGAAAAATACAAAATTTCAGTGGTCATGAGGATAGCAGAAGAAGCCAAGAAGTATCTAAGTGAGAACATGGTATCTAAGTGAGAACATGTAGACCATGAAAAGGTCCAGAAGTTTACTATTTAATTTACTGAATTTCTTTAAATTAATGTCTGCTTTGAAGATCAAATGTGTAGTCATTTCTCTATCATATCCTACAACAGAACCCTATCTTATAAGCAGTGGTTTTTCTCCTCCTTGTCACATCAGTTTGGCATATGAAAGCCTATTTCTCTGTAAAACCTGAGCAGTGAGGATCCTCACCAGTTGAAAATATAATTCTGTAAGAGGCAACTAAAAACTATGGAACCAAAGTAGAAGCAATAGTGTTATCTATGTGAGCATACTCAATGAAGACTTAATTCTATATAAAAAGTAAAAAAAAAAAGTAACAGTGACTATTAATATTAAGCAGGTGCAAAATAAGTCAGGAATATTCACTACAAGAATCCTCAATAGAACATGAGGAATTTTCATTGTGCTGTGTCCTATGTAGTATATGCTAATGAATGGATACAATTATGGTCAAAATTGCTTCCAATGTTTTGGAAAACAAAACACAAATTTAAAATGTAAATTGCCAAGTTAAACATAGCATCTTGCTAAAAAAAATCCACAAAATTAAATATGAGTAAATTTGATTCAATACAAAAAGAAATGGTTACTAACCCAGGGTGTCTCATTTGGAAGGAGGTGGGGTACCCTGACCTCTCCCTCTTCATCCCTCTCTCTGCAACTACATCACAATCTGGTGGTGGTTCTGGGGAGTTCTAGTAGTCCCCAAGTGAGTTTAATGTAACAGTTTTGTACCCTTGTACTTCACATATAGGCAAAGGAGACAGAGGACAGAAAATCCAGCCTCATATGGCCGAGAAGACCTTCTGCGTCATACTGGCCATGTGCATACCAGCAGCTCATGGGAAGGATCGCAAAGTGTGTACTGAGTTACACATTCCATTGAGCAAACTTCATTCAAATACTGTCTATAGGGATCTCCCTGGAGGCACAATGGGTTAAAGAACCACATCAGCAAGCTCTCAGAAGCCACTGCAGCACGAGTTCAATCCCTGGTCAGGGAGCTGACCCACTTGGCACAGCAGACCTCTCCTGAACCTGTTCCTGACCCGGCCGCTGCTCCCCTCAGCAGTGTACTCCATCAGTCGGCCTGTTCTGCTCCTCACTCTGTCTCCTACCACAAATCTGGCCTGTACCCCAGTTCT